CACATTGTACTCTATATGTTTATATATATATATATATATATATATATATATATATATATACAAATTATTATTTGTTAAAAAGGCTGGAGAGATGGTTCAGTGGTTAAGAGTACTGGCTGCTCTTCAGAGGACCCAGGTTTGATTTCTAGCACCTAGATTGCATCCCACAACTGTCTGTTACTCTGGTCCTAGTAGATATGAAGCCCTCTTCTTGACTCTGAGGGCACCAGATATGCATGAGTTGCATAGACATGAATGTAGGCAAAACACCCATACTTATATATACATAAATAAAAATCTTTTCAAAAGGTAAATATGAGATAAGCTCTGTAAACTTGGCTGTCAGTAAGATATAGTTTGTGTCCCATAATGAATCAGTGAGGTTTTTAAGGGACCTGACAGGGTTTCTCCATGTAGCCCTGGCTGTCTGGGAACTCACTCTGTAGACCAGGCTGACCTCGAACTCACAGAGATATGGCTTTGCCTTCCGAGTTCTGGGATTAAAGACAGGCACCACCACATCCCAGCAATAGTGTGGATGAGAAATAAGGAAATCATAGAATAGACTGTAGTGGTGGGCATAGTAGAGAAGACATTTTAGAGAGAGTATTTACTGATTTGACAGTATAAGTGAGTTAGAAAGAATAGATGACTGGAAATATGACCTCGAACACTTAAGTTCAGTGGTGTTAATCAAGACCATGCAAGTGCTGGGGAAGTTGGCAAAATGCTTTCTGTGCAAGTGTGAGGACCTGAGTTGGACCCCTAGGGCCTAGGTGAACAGGTCAGCTGTGTAATACCTGGTCAGAGTGAAATATCCTATCTCAAGAAACAAGGTGATGCCATCATGAAAATGGCACCTAAAGTTGACCTCCTTCCTCCACACTCCATACACATCCCCTCCCCCCACAAAAAGTAGTGAAAGTTACAGGAATGTGTTTTTTTCTTGTTTTATCTTGTTAGATGGGGAGTCTGCAGAAGTGAGGGATGGGATAAAGACATTAGTTTGGGGCTCTTATAACTGTTGGGTGTGGTTTTACCACTTTTTCATGTGGTGTTCTGATTGTTATTGTAAAAATAAAACTTTTTTCAAAATCTAGTTTCTGTAGCTTTGTATTTCAAAGATACTTAAATGTTCTTGCCATCTGTATTGATTTTTCTGTTAATCAAAAGAACAAAATGTAAATTTAATAAACACCTACTGATTACCAGAGTGAGCTGCATACAAGTGATAAAGAACTAATTACAGGACAGGCTCCAGAGCTACACGGAGAAACCCTGTCTCGAAAAAATTTCAAAGTTCTAAAAGAGACAGGCATTTTCAGTCCTCTTGTATATGGAGAACAGGACAAAGAGCTCAAGTATTGTTCACAAGTTCATATTGCTAGTAAATAGTGATCCAATAGACTTCTCAGTGCCTGCAAATACATGATAGACGTAATGAGTAGTTAGTAGTCTATGTCTGGAATATGGAATGCCTAGAAATAGAGATAATACAGGAGCATTTAGGTTTTGGTTTGATGTGGTGGTGAATGCATGAAATTCTAGTATCCAAAAGACTGAGGCAAGTGGCCATGAGATACAGGCTAGCCTGGGTTGCAAAGGAAACCCTGTCTCATAAAACAAACAAATAAGCAAGCAAACAAACAAACAATAAAACCTCACACCAACTCGCTAGCCCACCACCAGTAAGGAAGTTGTCTAGAGCTGCTTTTGACAGGTGTTAGAGAATTTTAACTTTGGTTTTGTAGAAGTGTAGCATTAAGGATGTTTAAGCATACAGTGAGTGGCTTAAGAGATAGGTTAGTTCAGGTAAGTGTTTGAGGAGGCACAAAATAAAAATGAAGACATTTTGTTATATAAATGTTATGAATTCCTTGAATAGCACATGTCTAAAAATTAAAATGTGCAATTTTGAATATTGGTATCAAGAACTTACGATAGAAGATATGCATGAAGATGAGCTTTCTTGTGGCATTAACAACAGACCCTTCTCTGTGGGGATGACAATGCGCACATAGAACCTTTTGTTCCTTCTGGCCCCAGGGATCTTCTCAAACGTTTGTTCTTCACTTCATAATAACCAGATTATTCTTTGGGTGCAGAGAATACTCATTTTAAAAGGGTGAGAAAGCCCGAAGGGCTTTAATTGTAAATTCCGAATGTCAAAAGACTTTAAAATTGTACTTAAATAACATTAAATCTTCCAGAATATATAATAGGTTTTTTTGTTTGCTTTTAATTCTTGAATAGAGTCAGGTCAACATCTGAGCCATACATTCCAGCAAACAGATAAAGGGTCAGATGGTTGTCACAGGGAGTTAGCTTCTGCCCCTTCTCTGAGGCTGCCGTGCCATCCCCATTCACTATGGCTCAGTAAGCCTGATTCATCTAAGACCTTTTTATGTTAGTAATTCAATTTCATGATGAGAGAAAGAGGTTGTATTATCTGCAGTCACATTTTACCTCTATTATATTACCAATCCCTCAATTTTCTAAGTTAAAAATTAAACACTATTTTGCTTTTATTGGGATTTAGCCTGGCAATTGTAATTATAAAAGAAATAAATTGCATTTAACCATATGAATTTAACTCAGAATTGAAATTTACTTACTTTTTGGATTATATTTAACAGCAAGTTTGAACCTGTAATAAACAGGAACATTCTAGTAGATCTAATAATTCATGTACATTGAAAACTGAAAAAAATTATATAGGGCAGAAAGCAAGTAAAAGAGACTAGAAAGAAGTAATATGTTTTTCCACATTCACAGAAGGGGATTGCAACTGCAAAGTGATATTTTTGTTTGTTTGTGTGTTTTGTGGGTAAATACCAAATCTTTTATTTCAGGTAGGAATGCGTTTCTAACTAAGAGCATGCATTTCTATTGGCTCCTGGCTATCTTCAATTTTCTTTTTAAGACTTTTTTCTTTTTTTAAATTGATTCTTTGTGGATTTCACGTCACGCACCCCAATCCCATTCATTTCCTCATCCCTTCATATCTGCCCTCGACCCTTGCAGCTTCCCCCCAGAATAAAATTTAAAAGAAAACCGAGTAACCAAAAGACCAAACAAACTAACTTAACAACGCAACAAAGTCTCAGCATGGAAGCTGTGGTGTGACACAGGGAGTCACACAGTTCACCCTGTAGTCCAAACATCTTAACTTGTAAGTGTTCATTGCTAGGAGACATCGTCTGATTCAAGGCCTCTGGCTTCTGTTACACCCTTGATACTGGGCCCTCCCTGGGACTCCTCTTGGATATGCTGCTGTTGTCCTGTGTCATCAGCAGGTCTGGCCCTTGCATGCATCAACAGTTCATAGATGCTGTGGATGTTGGGGTGGGCCAACTCATAGCCCTGGTTCTGAGCCCGGGTGGTATCTGGGTTGGTCAGCTGGCCAGCTTTCCCTCATCGACACCACCAGGGCAAGCTCTCCAGCATTGCCCTGTCTAGCTTGCCCACTGCAGCAGGTGGCAAGGAGCAGGGTCAGATCGTGTGCTCTCATGCCCTGTGGGCAGCTCGCCCGCACCTACCCTACCTGCTCTCCCCAGTGCTGCAGGACCAGCTCTCCCATTAATGTGCTCTCAATACCATCTCTCCTGCCTGTGGAAGGTGGCAAGGGGCAGGGGTGGGGATCTTTTCCTCACTCATGCCATCACATGGCAGACATGCTCTCAGGGCTGGCTCACCTGCTCAGGGTCAGCTCTACTGTGTTAACTGGGTGAGGGAGAGGTGCAGGGCTGGTTCTCCTGAGTGCTGTAGTTGGTCAGGGGCAGAGCCTGCTTTCCCACCCGCCACAGGGGGTGAGGGGTGGGGGATAAGGGAGAGCCATCCTCCATATGACAGATGAGGAGTGGGGTCAGATTTTTCACGCACATTTGCCAGACTAGATCACCTGTGCCCCCATCAGCAAAGTGATTTGTAAAGGTACCTGTTGCAAACCGGATGACCTGAGTTCCACTCCTGGAACCCGTGTGGTGAAAGCAGTGAACTGATGCCCACAAGTTATCCTCTGACTTTCACATATGCACTCTGTGGATCTCTCTCTCTCTCTCTCTCTCTCTCTCTCTCTCTCTCTCTCTCTCTCTCTGATTTAAATAACCCTATGTCTGGAATATATGAATTAGGTTAAATGAGGTAATTAGGCTAAGTGCCTGTATTACATATTCCATAGATGTTTGTAATATAGGGAAAATAGTCTTTGATTTATTTTTACTAAGTTTTTTTCTTTTCCATTTTTAATTTTTTGATTGCATTTTACATTCCAACCACAGTTCTCCCTCTATTTGTATTAATTTTTAAGTGTGTGTGTGTGTGTGTGTGTGTGTGTGTGTGTGTGTGTGTGTGTGTGTGTGTCCCTCCATGTAAATGCCAGTGTCTGAAGAGGGCCGAGGGGGTCAATATATTCTTGGAGCTAGAGTTCAAGGTAGTCATGAGTCACCCAGTAAGATTGGTAGATGATTAAAAGACACAAGAGAACTATAAAGACTGATAATCCAGTGAGGAAGAAGTCAAAATACTGAATGTTTGGCTCTTACAATTACTTTAAGATATTAAGACTGTTTCATGGCATTGTTTCCTTTCTTTTACAGTCTTCAATTTGACCAACAATGTGGATTTGGAGAACACCAAAAAGAAAATGGAAATATATCAAAAGGAAAACAAAGATGTCATTCAGAAAAATAAGTTAAAACTGGTTGGTTGCTAAGTATTCTTTTCTTTTGTATGAGTAACAACAATTTTCACAGAATACTTAAAATGATTTTATTAGTTCTTGGAGTGTTTTACACAATGTGTTCTAATCATATTCACCCCCACTCTTTCTGACTCTTCCTCAATTCCCTCCCCCCTCTTCCCTACCTACCTTTCTTTGTGTCCTTTCAAAAAAGTTTTTCAAAAGAAATTTGTGCTACTCATATTTTTGGATGTGTGGTCTTCCACTGGAGAGTTACAAGGAACTACACTCTCAGAAAATTGTTTCTCCCTCTCACAGCAACTATTGGCTGCCAGTGGCTCCATGGCTAGGAGTGGTATTGTGTGCCCAACTCTCTCTCCATGCTGAGATTTAGTCTGGCTTGGGCTCGGACAGGTTTTGTGCATGCTGTTGATACTGCTATGGGGTCCTATGTGCAGCTGCTCTGATGAGTTCAGAAGACTCTTGTTTCCTTGTAGTCATCTACTTCCTCAGGCTCTTACACTCTTTCTGCCACCTCCTCTCCATTGATCCCTCAGCCTTGGACAGAGACATGCAGTATATACATGTTCTATTTAGGACTGAGCATTCTGTAGTCTCTTAGCTTTTGCACCTTGGCCAGTTGTGGATCACTGTTAATCAACATTTACTGTAAACAGAAGTTTCTCACTTTAGGGTTGATCTATCAGTATATAACACTAAGTCGTTAGAAGATGGTTTAACCCTATATTCATTTAGTGGCATACTAATAGTGGATTCTCTTAGGGCTTGCTACCTATCTAGCTAAGTTCTTAGCCCAACAATGGTGTCAAATATTGATTCCATCTTGAGGAGCAGGACATAAATCCAATGAGAACGTGGTTGGTTACTCTCATGATGTTTGTGCCACTATTGTACTAGTGGTTGTCTTTCCAGGACAGTTGTATCTCACAGAGTTCATAGCTGAGGAAGAATAATGATTACTTTTCTCTCTGGTAGCTTGCATAGCACCTTCCAGCACTTTGAAAGCTAGAGCTTTTAGTTCCATACTGGTCTGATTTGACCAGGTTCTAGGACTCAATTATGTATCTTTTCACTGTCAAATTCTGGAAGGTAACCAGTGGTATTGGTAATAGCCTATAATGTTTGGGGTTCTATGGGACCTCACTGGTCAATAATTCCAAAAGAAGTAACTTCTAACTGGTATTGGACTATTTATTTGTTAACCTCTCAAGTTTATTAGGGATATTGTTACCCTGTAATAATGTAACTTAATTTTTAACTCTTTATGTGTGTATATATTTTATATTTTAGGATGTTTCTCTAGTTGTAGGTTTCCATATATCTTTTTTGAAAGGTCTCTTTAGTGTTATTTATCCCTCTCCATTATACATTCTCTGCACCCCGCCGCTCCCAGTTTAACCATTCCTGTTCCATTATTCACTTCTCTCCCTTGAAAAGCCCCTTCCCATGGCCCTTAGTAATGTACTGACCTCGATGGGCATTACAAATGAAGCACACATCTGAAGAGTCAAAGCTAACATCCACAAATGAGAAAAAAGTGACATCTTTCAAGGTTTACTCACTCAAAATGACTGTTTCCAGCTCCAACCATTTACCTGAAAATTTCATCCTCTATGGGTCCTTTTATGTAGCACTGGCCAACTTGGAACTCTTTATGTAGACCAGGCTGACCTCAAACTCGAACAGATCCACTTGCCTTGGCCTCTTGATGGTTGGGATTAAAGGTGCATGCCATTAAGCATTGGATTAATTTTTTTATAGCTGAATAATAGTCTAGTCTAAATATTGCCAGATTTTCATTATCCATTCATCAGTTGATAGACATGTAGTACTATCTATCAACAACAAAATGACTTTTTCTATTTCCTGGCTGTTGTGAATAGAGCAGAAATGACCATGGATGAATAGGTATCTTTCAAATATGACAGGGACTTCTTTGAGTATAGACCCAAGAGGGTAGAGCTTGGATCATATGGTAGAAGCACTCTATGGGAATCAGTGTGGAGGTTTTTTATAATACTTTAGAAAGTACCCTCCTTTTAAAAGCAGTTACAAGGAATTTAAATAGAAATTTAAATTTCTAGAAATAGTTCCACTATATAGATGCATGTAGTTAGGGAGATAGTCACATTACTATAGCAAAAGTCATTTGACAACATTATGTTAAATTGTATTTCTTAAGGAACAGATTTTTTTTCTCCATTTTTTTTTTATTTGAATTAGAAACAAAATTGTTTTACATGTCAATCCCAGTTCCCTCTCCCTCCCCTCCTCCCTTACCACCCCTCTCCCCCTCCAACTAAAACCCTACCTATCACATACTCTTTCTGCTCCCCCAGGGAGGGTGAGGCCTTCCATAGGGGGGTCTTCAGAGTCTGTCATATCCTTTGGGATAGGGCCTAGGTCCACCCCCGTGTGTCTTGGCTCAGGGAGTATCCCTCTATGTAGAATGGGCTCCCAAAGTCCACACCTATTTTAGGGATAAGTACTGATCTACTACAGGAGGCTCCATAGATTTCCAAGGTCTCCTCACTGACACCCACGTTCCTGGGCTCTGGATCAGTCCCGTGCTGGTGTTCCAAGAGCTCCCCATTGTTCAGGTCAGCTGTTTCTGTGGGTTTCACCAGCCTGGTCTGGACCCCTTTGCTCATCACTCCTCCTTCTCTGCAACTGGATTCCAGTTCAGTTCAGTGATTAGCTGTGGGTGTCTGCTTCTACTTCCACCAGCTGCTGGATGAAGGCTATAGGATGGCATATAAGTCAGTCATCAATCTCATTATCAGGGGAGGGCATTTAAGGCAGCCTCTCCTCTGTTGCTTAGATTGTTAGTTGGTAGCATCTTTGTAGCTCTCCAGACATTTCCCTAGTGCCTGATTTCTCTTTAAACCTAAAATGTCTCCCTCTATTATGGTATCTCCTTTCTTGTTTTCTTCTATTCTAAGGAACGAATCTTTAAGGTAGGCAACAGTTGATATTGCTAGTGTCTATCTGTATTATTCTCTGGGCAGTTAAGTTTACATTTGAACACTTAACAAGCTTATTCTATTCTTAGACTTTACCAACTAAGCTTTCTTCCTAGCCCCGAGTTTGACTATTTTGAATAAGTGAAAACACAAAGTGTTTATTATGATTGCTTAAGTTTCCTTAAAGTTTCTGAGACTTATATTGTGATCTATCCTGGCTAAAGGTTTGTATGTACTTGAAAAGAATGTATTGTCTGCTCTTGTTAAGTAGAATGTTCTATGTATATATTTTTGTACCATTTTCTATATAGTATTGTTTGAGGTCTCTGTTTATTGACAATTCTGTTTGGATATCTTATCCATTAATTAAAAATGGTCAGTTTAAGTTTTTTCTTGAATTGCTGCCTTATTCTCCCTTCACTTGTCATTGTATATGCTTTATGTATTTAGGATCTCTGATATTGAATGCATATGTAACTTATATTTTCTTGTATGTTATACTTTGTATCATTATATTATGTCCTTCTTTGTCTATTGTGATGTCTTCTGACTTAAAGTCTTGATCTCAGTAAATGGTGCTAGCATCCATCAGTGCTCAAGCCATTGTTCTGTCTCCATGTTTTGTTGATGGCTTGTGTTTTAAACCTGGCTCTTTTTTTCCCCCCAGTTATTTGAATATGATTCTAACCAGTGTTCCTAATAGCTTTAACCCAGTTCTGTTCATCTGTGTGTCTTACTGCTTCCAGTCATCCTTCTAAACTCACTCCTTGGATTCTCTTAATGTCTCCCCAGGTATCTTTACATGGCACAACTCCTTTTGTGTTTTCTAGAGAAGTGCCATGATCTTCCTTGTCTTTTTCCCTCTAGCTTTGTTTAAAACACTCTTCCCTATCTCATGACTTATTCACACCAAACAATCTAACTTGTTTCATGTCTTTGCCCTGTTTGTGTAATATGTTGTTGTATTGTCTGGAGAGTGGGGTTCAATACCTACTGTTTGAAGTTCTAAAGCTATGTATTGTTTTCCTAGGACTTCTTGAACAAATTGCCAAAACCCAGGTGGCTTACATATTATTTTCTCACTATTATGGAAGCTAGAAGCCTGAAATCCAGGTGTCTGGCAGGGCTGTGGTGTCTCTTTAAGCTCTAAGGCCGGGTCTTTCTTAGCCTCTCATGGTCTAGCAAGCATTGTCAAGCTTTGTCTATCTTCAGATGTTCTTCTCCCCATGTGTCAGTGTCCAGATTTCCAGTAGGATGTTATCTTAACTTGATTATATCAGCAAAGATCTTCCCTCCCACCCCACATCAAAAATAAGATCATATTTATTAGCATCAGTATGTTGATCTTTAGCTTCTCTTCTCATGGGACACAGTTCACCAGCAGCACTCTATGAAACCCTTTCTATTTCTACTTGTAGTCCTAAGGGAAACTTATCAGCAGATCAGTAGTGTCATTGCTGCACACACTGTGTGTGCAGTATCCACACCTGATGTACTTAATTGCAGACACTTTGGCACATTGTGTAGATATATCCTTTTATAGATGCTCTTACTAATCCTTCTAGATGAAGTTTGCATTCCCTTCTCCAATGGAAGCTTGTATTAAAAGCATTGACTTATTAACAGGGGTGTAGGAATTTGTAAAAATGATTGGGAGAAATGCTCACAAGACTTAGCAGCTGACTTAAAAAACAGAAAAGAGAGAGTAAACTGAATGGCTTAAAAGTGAGTTCACTTGAGGTGTGGGTTTGCTGTCATCAGTATAAGGAATACAGTGGACCTGATTGCTTGATTTTGCACATAAGGGTCTATAGTACAGGAGTGCAGCTCCGTTTTCTCCTTGAAAACTTGGTGTTTTGTTGAAGGAGGAATTTGAAAAATATATGGAACTGAAAAAGAAAATCCATGTTAAGTTCCATAAATTGAATGACTTTAAACTGTCTATAATAATTACAAATTACCAACTCCACCCCATCCCAACTCCACCCAGTATTAACCAGTTACTCCATGTCAGTGCCTGGGGCTTAGTCTACTTGGTTTGGTGTTTGTCCTTCTCTGGGCTAGTGTAGGCTCAGATGAGATAATAAGTATTCTAGTTTATTCTGTATAGAATTGTCAGATTATTAAAGCACAAGTGATGAAATTGCTTTATGTTTCCAGTGAGTAAGGTAGGAGAGTACAGCATAGGATTGCTGTTGATTAATAAAGTCATTCCATTCCTTATGTGACTTTCTGTTTAGACTCGGGAACAGGAGGAATTGGAGGAAGCATTGGAAGTAGAACGACAGGAAAGTGAACAACGAAGACTGTTCCTACAAAAGGAAGAGGAGCTGCAACAGATTCTGAAGAGGAAGAACAAGCAGGCCTTCTTGGATGAGCTGGTCAGTGTTCATGCTAATTACCTAAAAGCTAATCTTCCCATGGAGTTTGCTGAACAATGGTTTTCAGTGGCAGTTTGGAGTGTCCCTGCTCTAGTTTACTTTCAGCTTTTTCCTAATCTATCTATCTATCTATCTATCTATCTATCTATCTATCTATCTATCTATCTATCTATTTTTTGTTTTTTTGAGACAGGGTTTCTCTGTGGCTTTGGAGGCTGTCCTGGAACTAGCTCTTGTAGACCAGGGTGGTCTCGAACTCACAGAGATCGGCCTGCTTCTGCCTCCTGAGTGCTGGGATTAAAGGCGTGTGCCACCAACGCCCAGCTCAAAAATATTTATTGTTATTGTGTGCAAGGATAGAGTGGGGTGGAGAACATGTGCATGCCACAATGTATGTGTAGAGGCCAGATGACAGTGTTGTTGAGTTGGTTCTCTGCTTTATATGGGTTCTGATGATTAAACTCAGGTTGCTGGGTTTGCAAAGCAAGTCAGTGCCTTTACCTGCTAAGAAAACTTCCCTTTTGCTTCTAATAATTATTTGTGGTGGGGTGCTTTCCAGACAGGGCTTATCTGTGTAACATCTTTGGGTGTCCTGGAACTTGTTCTGTAGACCGGGCTGGTCTTGAACTCACAGAAATCTGCCTACCCCTGCCTTGTGAGTGCTAAGATTAAAGGCTGTCAAAGTGGAGCTTTGTTGTATTCCTATTCCTTTACCTCCTCCCCTTTCTAGTCCTTCTTCCCTATTCACCTTTTTTATATATTCATTTCACTTGCATATGAGAGAATAACAGTATAACTGACATAAATATAAATAATACTTAATAGATTGTTTCTATGTCTTTAAGTTTACCAAAACATTGTTTTTAGAATATTTTCTCTTAATAGTTTCCCAACAAGCTGGTTTTGAATGTATTGGTTATGTGCTGAAGTATTGTGGCTGCGTGTCATGTTTTTGCATGAAAAATAGTGTATTTGGTTGAAATGTGTGTTATTAGACTATTAGTACTTTCTAGCAGTTAATTCTGTGTCCGTCTTTGTTAGCAAATAGCAGTAAGTGACTATGGTCTGAGAAGTGGTTCATGGAATTGATACTTTATTATTGATACTTTTTTTTTGTTTTTTTTTTTCGAGGCAGGGTTTCTCTGTGTAGCTATGGAGCCTATCCTGGCCCTGGCTCTGGAGACCAGGCTGGCCTCAAACTCACAGAGATCCACCTGCCTCTGCCTCCCGAGTGCTGGGATTAAAGGCGTTGATACTTATTTTAATCCTTTGTGATACTGGTGACATCACAAGCTAGAAACTATTCCTCTCTGGATAAGTCTTTCTGTATTTTCCATTCTATCTTTATATATTCATTTTCCTCGAGGCATTTCTTCGCTATTAACATGCCCCCAGTATTAATTGCTGTGTTGTTATTCTATGATGGAATAAATGTAAATGTATTTTCTATTGTGAATTTGTTAAAAAGTATTTTAAGCCAGTTAATCAGAGGTAAAATAAAAAGCAAGATTATATTTTAAATTAGATGTAGGTGAGAGAATAAAGAAAAAAATAAGAATTAGAGGATTAATGAGTATTAGAAACAAAGTGCCCCTCATGAAAGTCCGTCTAGGGCTGGTGACAACCTGAGTTCATTCCTCAGGACCCACTTGGTAGAAGGAGAGAACTGACCTTCACAAGTTGTCCTCTGATGTCCACATGTGCTCCATGGCACACGCATGTGCCCACACACAAAATAAATAAAAGTGTACTTTAAAAACCCCTCCCACTTTCTATGAGTACAAAGTGAATTTGCTTCCAAACTTGGCATTGTCTTAGCTGGAAGAATGTGCTTCAGCCACCATCACCAGTCTGGAGCTCAGTCTCTTTGCAGTTAGTCTTGCAGAGCCTTTCAGTCCCCACGAGTACTGAGTCTTGCTGCCTCGTTGAGCTGCTGTTGGCATCAAGCTCTTCTCAAATGCAGTGAGGCATGAAGTAAGACGTTTTTGCCAGTGTTGTACATTGTGTGTAATCTGGAGTTAATACCAGTTCTTGTGCGTTCCCGCCTCTCGCTTCCTGTTTTCTTCACCTGCAAGTCATTACTGCACATATTTCCTCACTGTTTAGACCATGTAACATGGTGGTTAAATAATTCTTCATAATTCACTGTATTCATTATTATAATGCCACTGCAGTTGGGCTTTTTGATTTCAACTTTTAAATTTGTCATTATAAGTTTTTAGTTTTATTAATAATTCAGTCTTTATTAAAATTATTGCTACTTTTAATCTTTGACTAACTGAATTAAGTTTATTTTAACTTGATTAATTTGTATTAATGAAGTGAAAATGTATTTTTCTATGTGTTTTCGTGTTAGGTTTTTATAAAAAGGTAAAGTTAGCATTGGTGTTTATAAGTATGTCTAAAAGACTTCACCTTCAAATTGTTCCCTGGACCATATTTGTGTAAAGATGACTTGTTAGAATTCTTTTCTTTCTGTTTCTAAGTTTGGTCTTTGTGCCCAAAGTCACTTTGTAACCTTCTGACAGCACTGGCAGCACACATACACTGTACTGTATGTGGCAGGTTTAATGTTACAGTCTGAATGTTTATAGCTTAGCATTTGCCATAATGCTGGCTAAAAAGTCCATTTATTTTAATCCTAACTGTAAATTCAATTTTTTAATAGTTTGGAAAAAGATTTTTAATCAGGTTCTGTGTTATTAAATCTTTTTATATTCCTGTTTGAAAATTCTGTTCCATTTATGTCTTAAATTTTATGAGTTAATGCTGTTGTCAAATGCAGTGGCTGATTCTTATTAGGTATATTGTTTGCCAGATGGCTTGCTTAAAGTCAGTTAAAATAATCTTTAAAAATGGTCATTATAAAGCTTTTAATGAGTATTTCAGGCAGTCTTATTAAAATTTCTTTAAATATTAAACGGTGTGCCTTTAGGCAATTACTGTGGGCTCTGCAGCCTTCCAAGGTGAAGTGTGACGCTCAGAACAGAGACGTAACCTCCAACTGGACCTGCACCTTCTGTGTCCCCCAGAGCCCGCTTCACAGGCGCGTTCTACTCTGCAGATATGTTTATCTTCAGAGACCTGCTTAATTCTGTTTAAACACTAGCAGCCAGGCTCCAAAATTTTGAGTGCTAAAGTAGAAGTGATATGTTTAAAGTAAATTCTGAGGCCTGATATTAAAGTGAGATGCCTAGAATACTGATTTTTATAAAATTTCAGCTATCAAGACATTTAAACATTGAGTTCCTTTTACTGTGAATGAGAAACTAGGATTATAATAAACCAGTCTTGGTTAGCAACTTATTTGAAGTGAGCACACTATCTTATGTTAGAATTCTTTTTAAAATTATGTGTATGTGTCTTTATATGTGTGGGTTAGTTAGTTGCCTAATGTAAGTGTTGGGGACTGAACTTGGGATTCCCTGAAAGAACAGCAAATGTCCTTAACCGGTGAACTGTATTTCCAGCCCCATTTTCTTGCTTTCATATGTGGAATTTTGCTTTTTTAGGATAAATTTCTGTTATATATAAGTATTTACATCCATTTGCAAATATAAATCAGAAGGCAGTGATTTAACTTTAAAAATGATATATTATTTATGTGTATGTGTGTATCTGTATATGGATATGTGCATATGAGTGCATGCACTCTCAGAGGCCAGAGGAGATCTTTGGATCTCTGGAGCTGGAGTTATAGGCTGTTATGAGCAGCCTGGTGTGGTGCTGGGAACCAAACATAGGCCTTTGGGCTCGACAGATGGTTCAGTCATTAAATGCTAAGACTCACACTTGTAAATGGAGAGTTTAGTTCTAAAGTCAGGTCCTCTGGACGAACAGCAAGTGCTTTTAACTATCGAGTAATCATCTTTCCAGCCCTTGATATGACTCTAAAACATCAATTAACTAATTGTTGTGTGTGTGTGAGTGCATAGTATGTGTGTTTGGGCATGAATGTGGAGTTGGTTTATTTCTTCTGTCTTTATGTGTTCTGGGGGATCAAACTCAGGTCCGGGCTTTTGGGCAAGCACCTTTACCTTTCCAACTATCTTCTTAAGCCAGTGGTTTAATTTTTTAGCTGAGAAAAATTTTTTTCTTTTCAGTTTGTGTACATGAAAAGATATATTAAAAAGACATTTTTGGGTATAGCCCACTTAAGGTCTTCTTTAATGTTATGGATTATTATAAAATGGCTGGTGGAGGTCTAAAATTGTTGCAGGAATGCACAACAATGCAGTACAAATGCTATGTTCTGAGTATGAAATGAAAGACACTGAAGACTGTGTCTCATATTGTTTCTCATATTGTTTCTTATTCACCTTTATTGTTGCTAAACCCAGGTTTAGTATCTATTTTATAAAGAAATTTGTGTCCTTATATGTTTTAATTTTTGTGATATTGCTCTTGAAAAATCATTTTGGTCCCTTCCTTCCTTCCTTCCTTCCTTCCTTCCTTCCTTCCTTCCTTTTGTATCTCATGTGCATTGGTGTTTTACCTGCTTGCATGTTTATCTGTGTGAGGACATCAGATCCCCTGAAACTGGTGTTAGAGATTATGAACCATCATGTGGGTGCTGGGATTTGAACCCAAGTCCTCTGGAAGAACAGCCAGTGCTCTTAAATGCTGAGCCATCTCTCCAGCCCCTGCTTTTGTTTTCTAAGACAGGATCTCATGCAGTCCAGGCTGACCTTGAACTCACTGTGTAGCTAAAGTTGGCCTATACCACCATGTCCTGCTATGTTATAAAATCTTAATGTTAGTGGAAGGAGGGAACCAAGTTTGCACATTGTCTTCTGATCTCTGCACATGCTCTATAACATATATGAGACAAACACACAAACACACAGAAAATAAGAAATGCAATTTAAAAATATAAAAAAAGTCTTGATGTGCATCTTTATTCTCTAACAATTCTGTTGAATTGAGTTACTTGTTACTGCTTCTATGCTGGAACTTTAAAATAGTTGCTTTAAATATATTAGTCAGTTACATTTGTGCCCAACAATTATTAAAGGGTTAGATTTGGAAAGAAAATGAGAATCTGTAGTAATGTTTGCTTTCATATTATGAGATATTAACACAAGAGTTTCTTGAGGATTAAATTCTGGGTGACTGATATTTTTGATGTTCAATACCCTGCTTTTTGGTGGCCCTGTGGAGTGAACTTAGAGTTCCAGCTATGCTAGGCATAGTACTATATCACTAAACTGTGTCCCTTTTTCTATTTCTTACTTTTAGATGACCTCAATAAATTACCCTGGCTGGCCTTGCACTTGCTGTGTAGCCTTTCTCAGATAACGTTAGTATAAGAAATAGAAAGTGGTGGGGTTTTGTATTGTTTTGATTATTTTTTATCTTTGTTTATGAATATAGAATATACTCTCTTGATGGGAAGGGTGGAGCTGGAGAGATCCTTTCTCTGCATGTGTTTCTGGGTTCTTATTTAACTGACACCTCAAAGGTAAAAGTCTAGGTATCATTTAGTTTAGACATCAGCTCCACAGCGCTTCAAGCGTAAGTGCTTCATGCTGAATAGGATAAATAGCAGTCTCCTTATTAAGATAAGTGATTTGCTGCTCAAAATATGGGTGTGTACAGATTTGTGTACACAATGGTCCTGTGTAGTATCAATGTATGATATTAAATGTTTATCATTTAGTACTTGATTAAAATGTGATTTAAAATTTAAAAATAAGATATACATGTGGTGGTACCTACAATAGTTCCATTGTGCAAAACAGAACAAGGATTATTTGCAAACAGCCTCAGGTGAAATCTAATGGGAAACATTTCAAATGGTCTGAACTCTGGGGTGAAAAGAATGTGTCTCAGATAACCCTCTAAGTTATAGCCCTTTCTACTGCTCTTTTTTGTGATTAGCTTTCTTTCTTTATTAAATGGGTTGGTGGTTAGATGAAATAGGACCCTATTATATTATCTTTAATGTGGATTTTATAAAACACTTGTTTGCAGGTTATTTTGATTTATGAGTGTACAGCAACCTTTTCATATTATGGAATGTTAATATTCTTTTGTAAAGTGTTCTGTGTAAAGTGAATATTCAAGTGCTTATAGAAGAGGCAGACTTTGAAAGTTGTTGCTTTTTATCTTAAATTTCATGCTGAACTTTCTTACAGGAGAGCTCTGACCTCCCTGTCGCTCTGCTCTTGGCTCAGCATAAAGACAGATCTACCCAGCTGGAAATGCAGCTAGAGAAGCCCAGATCCACGAAGCCAGTGACGTTTTCCACCGGCATTAAAATGGTAAGCTTTATTTTAATTGCTAATTTGAAAGATAGTTTTCAGGACTATGCTTTTAAATTCTAAAGTAATTTCTACAGCTAAGTGAATGGTTAGATGTTTAAGAACAGGTATATTCTAGGCCAAATGTCTGGAAATATGGGTACATATGCTATAAGGATAGTGAAAAGTAATACTTTTCGAATTATGCAAAACAGTTTTGTTCAGTATGATATGAATTGGTATGGTGTGTGTGTGTGTGTGTGTGTGTGTGTGTGTGTGTGTGTTACTGGAGATGGGACCCAGGGCTTGTTCATGCTAAGCAAGTGCTGTTTCACTGAGCTACTCCCTAGGTCCTGTTCCTGTTTTATAAACTTGTAGTTGTTGGTGAACATTTCTTGAAAGCAAAGTGGATAAATATGGTTATTTAATATACTGTTTATCTGCTGGTATAAAATAGAGCAATAGATTACTTTGTACTTTTGTAGTTTTTCCTACAAAAATGTATTTCAGAAATGTATTAAAGCCATTTGTATTTTCTATACTCTTTAAGTATAGAGTCATGTGAATTAAAACATTGTTTAAATTTAGCCATTTGAAAGTAAGAATATGTTTATGAAGTTTTTTTGCTGTAGTTTAAGAATTATTAGTTTTTATTTTTATAACTTTTAAAATACATGTATTTATTGTGTGGGTATGTATGAGTGGCTGTGGTCTGTGTGTGTGTACATATGTGTGTGTCAGGGTGCATGTGTGGAGGTCAGGAGACAGCTTTCAAGAGTTGATTCTCTCCTTCAACCATGGTGGTTCTGTGGATCCAGTTCAGATTGTCAAGCATAGCGGTAATCACCGAGTCATTCACTGGCCTGTGACTTACTTACAATTGTTATAGTAATTTTTATGTGCTTTCCATCCGGAGTCTTGAGGTGTCCCTATAATAAAATATATGATTGTCAAATGATTAAGTACATTTTAAAACAGCTTTATTAAATAACATAAGTATTTCACCTGATGAAATTGTAGTTAAAGATTTGGAGTGTGGAGTCAAGTTCATCCCCTCATCTGTAAAATGGAAACGACAATAAATATTTCATAAATTACCAAGGATGTTAAATGAGACAATGTGAGACAAATGGCCAACATAGTGCCTGGCTGGTGGTGAGCTCTCAATAAAATAGGGTAATTGTTGTCAGTGATAGCATGAGTTGATTACACAGATGACTATTATCGTTTATTCCATTCTGTTGTTATAGATTGGGTTGGAATTGGACATGCATTTGAATGTCCCTTCTGACCTTATAGGTGCATGACCATGACCAGTTTGCCGCTTCCATTATTCTCATCTATAAAAAGTTAAGTCACTTGCTTCTTTGCAAGATCATGCTGCTCACTGAATACTGTGTTCCTTAACTGCTGCCTGACATTTATATAGTATTCTGTATGTGTGGAATAAAATTAGCATTCTGCAGTATTCTGTAGTATCTTGTTTTCATAATATAGTATATATGAAATATAATATATTCTAGTCTAGTATTTATTAATATAATTATACAGAATTTTTATATTTCATCTTGTTGTGCTAGTTATGTTGTCTGTAATTTTCTTTCTGGCATCAACACTGTTTGAGTATTAATTTCCCATGAATATTTCTGTATGTTAAGGCCTTTAGTCATCATATTTAAATTGTCAGTTTACCTTTCTTCTTTCTATTCTCTATGAATATCACCTAATAAGCATTCTATAACCCTTGTTTGGAAGCTAGTTTGTTGAATGGATGGATAGAGAATAGACAAATAGACAGGCTGGGTGGTGGCGGCACACGCCTTTAATACCAGCACTTGGGAGGTAGAGGCAGGTGGATCTCTGTGAGTTTGAGACCAGCCTGGTCTACAAGAACTAATTCCAGGACAGCCTCCAAAGCCACAGAGAAACCCTGTCTCAAAAAGCAAACAAACAAACAAAACAAACAAACAAACAAACAAAAATTAAAAAAAATAGATACTTGATCAGAATTGTACCAAAGTCTGTCTTAAAGAAAATTATTAAAACTCTTAGTGAATTATATATACTGTAAATATTTGTGACTTTGACATTGTGGTGAATGATTTTGTTGTTGTTGTTGTTTTGTTGTTTTGTTTTTTGAGACAGGGTTTCTCTGTGGCTTTGGAGGGATGAGTATTTTTTTGTCCTTATTGTTCATTTTGCTTTTAAAAAATATCTAAAGTAGCATGTTGGGGTGATGGTTAATTGGCAAAAGTGCTAACTGGCTGGCCTCAAATTCACAGAGATCTAACCCCCCCCATGCTGGAATTAAAGTATGCACCACCTTATTTTTCATTTCATGAAGTATATTTTTTTATTTCTGGAATGTCCCATTTGGGTATTTGTATCTTTCATTTTTCACCTCATGCTCATTTCCCCCCATTTTCTTGAGCATGTGGAACATATTTACATTAGCTATACTAGCTAGGCATGGTAGTACAAACCTGTAAGCCAATTCCTCAAGAGGTTGACATGGTCATTGTGAGTTTGGGGTCTGACTCAGCCACTTGATGAGTCCAGCCAAAGTGAAACCCCTGTCTCAAAACACAAAACCAAACCAACAAATACACATCATCTTTACTCACATCTTTTTCTGACATCTTGCCACCTATGTTATTTCTAGGTTTGTGTTTATCAACTGTTCGGCTCTTTTGTTTTTTTTTTTCTCCTGGGGCAAGGCAATATTTCTGTACTGAAAGTTTGTTTTTGTTTTTATTTTTAATCTCAGAACTTTTTTATAGTTTTTCGTGGTAGGTCTTAGGCTTTTTGTCATAACTGTTCCTGTGTATTTCATATTTTAGATACAGTTTTCAAGGAATTATCTTATATTTCTTTTTCAGCTGTTTAGTCCTAGTATGTATGTGGCTTCACTTTGTTAATATTTTTATTAAAGATTTTTCTGTCTGTATTCATATAAGATACTATACCAATCTGTTGTTTCCTTTGCTGTGAATACCATTGTCTTGCTTTGCTGTAGGGCTTTTATCAGTATGCCTGTCACGTTTTGTCGAGTATTTTGCTTTTCTTAAGAGTAGAATCTCTTAATTTTAAAGGAGTGTGTGTAAAATACCGTCATTCTTTGTTACATGCTTTGTAGGATTCTCCAGTGAAATCATTGAATTCTAATTTGTTTGTTTATATGCAGTTGATAAAACCTAATTTAAAAAATAGATTTAAGCTACTCAGATATAACTCATTTTTTATTCTTAAAGTATTTGAAGATTTCATTTAAAATATGTTTGTTGACATAGTTTTAATACTATTTCCTCAAAATTCTTTTAATACAACTCTAAGAGTTATAGTGATAACTCTTTTAAATTTTAAATCTTCTGTTTGATTTTTTGCTAGTTAGATGGGTATTAACTTAATATTAAGGTGTGTGTTTGTGTGTGTGTGTTTGTGTGTGTGTGTGTGTGAGAGAGAGAGAGAGAGAGAGAGAGAGAGAGAGAGAGAGAATTACTTACTCTAGCCCAAGCTGGCCTTAGATTCAACCTTTATCTTCCTGCCTTAGCCTTTCAAGTGCTAGATTACACGAGTGAGCCACTCTGTCTGGCTCTTACTTCATATTAATATTAATGAAGGGCCAATAATGTATAGATTCTTTGATCCATTGTTGCTCTATTTTGTGCATCTGTCCTGAGTGCTGGCATTTTGGAGTTTGTTTGCTTGCTTCTTTTGTTTCGTGAGATACAGGTCAAGTTGTAGCCCTGGTTGTCCTGGAAGTAACTGTGTAGCCCTAGCTTGGCTTAAATTTATGGCAGTCTTCCTTCCTTAGCCCCTGTGGGTTGGGATTATAGGTGAAGGCTGCCATTCTCATCTCTGAGTACCACTATTGTCACATATATCTTGTTTTTAAAGGAGCAGTTACAGAATTTTGTAATTTTTCTTCTAGTTATTTATATTTAGTCTATTTAATTTTAATCTTTTTAGTATCCTTTACAATAACTATTTGTTATTGCTTAGTATTCTTTGTAATGATGGCTTATCATTTCCTTTTAGCTGAAAGGATTTCCTTAATATTTTGCAAATTCCTCAATCATTGTTTAATCCAAACCACTATAATCATAAGCCTCCCCATTTGCACAGCACTTGCTTATCCTAGACAAATATCTGCCACTGAACTTCATTCCTAGCCCTCTAGGAATGTTTTCATTTTGTCTAGTTTGAGATACAGTTTAGTTGGGTAAACAATCAAAAAAAAAAAAGTATGGTTTTTGGTATGGTGACACATGTCTGGAATCACAGCACTTGGGAGGTAGAGGCAGGAGGATCAGAAGTTTAAGGTCATTCTCAGCTACCTAGTGAACTCAGGGCCAGCCTGGTTCCTGAGGAGGCTAAAAGAAGGTATCAAATCCCTGGAACTAGAGTAGCAGATGAATGTTGTTTAACCACTCTAGTTGGGGACATGAAGCTGGGAGATTAGGGCCTAAAACTGAGGCAGACCAAAGGTTTACATAATAGCCAACTTTATTCAGAGCATCAGACAATTTATACTCTGAGGGTTAAGAAGAGAAATCTGAATAAAGCATACAGTCACAGTGACAAGAACAGGCCGCATGTTGCAAAAGTGCTTTTCCGTAGAGGCATGTGAACAAATAACGATAGCCACTGTAATGAGTAGTTGCAAGTGAATTCACTCCTATCCACGATACATGTTACGGAGGAGCAGAGGTGATAAGACTCTTGTTTGCCTGGAGTTTTCTCAAAAGGTCTCCAAAATCTCCTCAACAGCTTCATTCCAACAGTTGTGAGCCACCATGTGGGCTGAGAACAGAACCCAGGTCCCCTGGAAAAGCACCAGTGCACTGAACCATCTTTCCACCCCCACATTTTTAATTGAAGTTTTTTTTATGTGTGCATGCTCATGAAACAAATTTGTAACCCTACTAGGGCTTGAACTTTTATAATTTTGTCATGTGTTTGAGACTTCAGTACAAACAGGTAATCTAAAAGTTTTATTATAAGGAAGGGCTGTTTTCTAG